TTTGAAAATGAGTCTACACTGGCTACTCTCTAACCACCTGAGAACCAGGGTTGGCAACACCCACTGAAGACTGCTAAAATGTTTTAACTGAATGTGGAATGGAGTTGATCAATGGAACAAATATTGCTAAAATCAACCTTCTTGTGATATTACGCAGTTAACACCTTAAGATAATAGTAGCTGGTTATGAAACTTTAAAAAAATACTAAACATATCAACATAAAGTTGACTTTCTAAAAATTAACACTCAAAGCCAACAATTTAAAGGCATCTTTGTTTCTTGGCTGAATGATTAGTTATGTCTAACAACACTGCCTTAATCAAAAATCTTTTCTAAAAGGATTAGCTTTTACTGTGTTAGATGGAGCATACTTAGTGATGATTATTCAGTAGCACAAGCACTTTGGAAGGGAGAACTTCAGCTGAATCAGGGTCTGTTGAGAATTTACATTGACGGGTGATTCTTGCTAGAATCAATTTTCCTGGAAAAAAATGTAAGAAATTCTCCCCACCAGTAGAATGTAAAACAAGTTCCCACCAGAATAATCTTTATCAACCTTTGGACAAGCTGTGCCAATAACAAGCATTAAGGGGACCATGTACAGTTACTGCTTTACAAATGAATTTCAAAAGGTGATTAGCTAATTTAGACTACCATTTAAAGGAGCACAGCAGAGCAGAGTTTCTCAACCTCCATATAACTGATGTTTGGGGATAACTCTGTTGTGGGGCCTCCTGTACATTGCAGAACATTCAGCAATATGCCTGGCCTCCACCCACGAGATGCCAAGTGCAGGAACCCTAGGGGATTCCAAATTGAGAACCACTGAGCTATAGTAATGCAAATTACAGATTTGTTATTTTAGACGCTAAGTTGTGTCTGACTCTTTTGAGACCCCATGGACTGCTGCCCACCAGGCTCCTCCGTCCACGCGATTTCCTAGGTAAGAATACTGGAGTGGGTTACTATTCCCTTCTCTAGGGGATCTTCCCAACCCTGGGATCGAACCTGTGTCTCCAGCGCTGGCAGGCGGATTTTTTTTTTTTTTTTTTTTTTTACTGCTGAGCCACCAGGGAAGTCTGTGGAACTGAGGCCTCTTGCCAAAAGCTACCCGAGTAACAAGCTGGGAAGCTAAGCTCCTCCAGCCTCAGCAGCCTTCAGACGCTTAGCACTAGCCAGTCACACGGTAATGACGACCTCTTGGCAGACCCTGAGCCAGAACCAGCACCCAGCAACATTGAGACAAAAAATGCTCTACATCACTAGGACTTACGGTATCTGGTTACAAAGCAGTAGACTCTAATACAGAGTTACCTGTCTTTCTGTTCCAAACACAAGATCCCCATCAGCTGAGTCCTTACCTTTTAATAATGGGATCACCACATTCTAGACCAAAGGACAGGACTGGTTAGTAGCAATTTACCTTTTCTAGGCAAAAGTGAGACAAATGAGCACAAAACTCTTTCTCTTGGATTTGGAGTGTGGTTTGGGAGAAGGGGGTGTTTAGAAATCAGGAGAGACTGGTACCTTGATTTATGTGGTAAAATAAAACATTTTCCACAACGAAGTCCTTGAAAATCTTTACAACACTCTCATACCAAAGCTGGTAGCTATCTCCCACCCCATAGCACAGCCACTAAACACAGGGCTTTCAGCAAAAAGAATTTAAGATTTAATTGTGGCCCAGACTCAACACTGATGATCCATGGAATGACTCTAAACGTAGCTCAGTTTCCTCAGATCTGAAAGTCACAGCTATGCTTCTTACTGACACAGGCATATTTGTTATCCCACTTTGTGGAGAAAAAGCTAAAATAATTACTAAATGAACTTGGACTAAGCAGATCTTCAGATTCTGTCTTACTAGGAATAAACAGTATTCCAAGCAAATACATCCCTACTACTTTTCACATAACCTGGAAAGGCTCTTGCACTTCAACTACCTCTAAGGGTATTGGGTGTTAGGGTGGAGTTGTCCCCCACACCCCCAAACTCATATGCTGAAATCCTGATGTCTACTAGCTCAGAGCAAGACTGTATTTAAAGAAAGGGTCTGTACAGATGTAATTAAGTTAAAATGAGGTCATAATGGTGGGCTGAATCCAATGTGACTGGGGTCTTAGAAGAACAGAACAGACATGCAGAGGGAAGACCACATGAACTCCCAGGAGATGGCTGTCCACAAGCCAAGGAGACAGACCTCGGAAGAAACCAACCCCGGCCACACATTGATCTCAGACTTCTATCCTCCACTGTGAAAAAACACATTGTTTAATCTATTGTTTAAGCCACACAGTCTGCAGTGCTCTGTTTCAGGAGCCTGGGCATAAGCATACAGAGGGTTATCGGCTACCTTTGTATACTGGGTCCCCTATGGTCTGGTCACTCACCTAGAGTCAGACATCCTAGAGTGTGAAGTCAAGTGGGCCTTAGGAAGCATCACAATGAACAAAGCTAGTGGAAGTGATAGAATTCTAGCTGAGCTATTTCAAGTCCTAAAAGATGCTGTGAAAGTGCTGCACTCTATATGCCAGCAAATTTGGAAAACTCAGCAGTGTCCACAGGACTGGAAAAGGTCAGTTTTCATTCCAATCCCAAAGAAAGGCAATGCCAAAGAATGTTCAAACTACTGCACAACTGCACTCATCTTACACACTAGCAAAGTAATGCTCAAAATTCTCCAAGCTGGGCTTCAACAGCATGTGAACTGAGAACTTCCAGATGTTCAAGCTGGATTTAGAAAAGGCAGAGGAACCAGAGATCAAATTGCCAACATCCATTGGATCACAGAAAAGCAAGAGAGTTACAGAAAAATATCTACTTCTGCTTTATTGATTACACCAAAGCCTTTGACTGTGTGGATCACAACAAACTGTGAAGAATTCTTAAAGAGATGGGAATACCAGACCACCTTACCTGCCTCCTGAGAAATCTGTATGCAGGTCAAGAAGAAACAGAACTGGACATGGAACAACAGACTGGTTCCAAATTGGGAAAGGAGTACATCAAGGCTGTATATTGTCACCCTGCTTATTTAACTTCTATGCAGAGTATATCGCATGAAATGCCACGCTGGATGAAGCACAAGCTGGAATCAGACTGCTGGGAGAAATATTAATAACCTCAGATATGCAGATGACACCACCCTTACAGTAGAAAGCAAAGAGGAACTAAAGAGCCTCTTGATGAAAGTTAAAGAGGAGAGTGAAAAAGTTGGCTTAAAGCTCAACATTCACAAAACTAAGATCAAGGCATCTGGTCCTGTCACTTCATGGCAAATAGATGGGGAAACAACAGAATCAGTGACAGGTTTTATTTTTTGGGCTCCAAAATCACTGCAGATGGTGACTGCAGCCATGAAATTAAAAGATGCTTGCTCCTTGGAAGAAAAGCTATGAACAACCTAGACAGCATATTAAAAAGCAGAGACATTACCTTGCCAACAAAGGTCTGTCTAGTCAAAGCTATGGTTTTTTCAGGAGTCATGTATGGATGTGAGAGTTGGCCCATAAAGAAGGCTGAGCACCTAAAAATTGATGCTTCTGAACTGTGGTGTTGGAGAAGATTCTTGAGAGTCCCTTGGACTGTAAGGAGATCCAACCAGTCCATCCTAAAGAAAATCAGTCCTGAATATTCATTGGAAGGACTGATGCTGAAGCTGAAGCTCCAATACTTTGGTCACCTGATGCGAAGAACTGATTCACCGGAAAGACCTTGATGCCAGGAAAGACTGAAGGCAGGAGAAGGGGATGATAGAGGATGAGATGGTTGGATGGCATCACCGATTCGATGGACTTGAGTCTGAGCAAGCTCCAGGAGTTGGTGATGGACAGGGAGGCCTGGTGTACTGCAGTCCACAGGGTCACAAAGAGTTGGACACAACTGAGTGACTGAAACGAACTGAACTATAGTCTGGTGGCTTCTTATCCCAGAAACCATAACATCAGACTATTGTACGGACCACAACTTTACACCCCCACAGTAAAAAAAAAAAAAAAAAAAAAGTCACAGTTATCCTGATTTCCAAAAACCGCCTATAGAGGAATCGTTAGAATTAAGTTGCTTTGATTCTGGCCTTCTTAACTTTAACCAAGACATCTAATATCAGAGGAGGGAGGAAAAACATAGAAACAACTCCAGCTATTGGAGCAGAAATAGCAGAAGTTGAACGATTTACTATCAAAGTGTTGACTCTGAGAAGCTGGAAAAGGGAAGGCCATGTCCTGTGACACTGATCTTGCTGTCATTCAGGAAAATGTCCCCAGACGAGCTGTGCGAGCTGAGGGGGAAAGTAAAGTTTTCACTGAATTCAGAGAGTAGAATGGCTGAGAAGAATATTTTAGAGAAGTACCATCCCAATATTCTGTGATAATCTATATGAGAAAAGAACCTAAAAAATGTATGAATACATGGGCCTGTATAACTGAATCACTCTGCTGTACACCTGAGACTAACACAACACCATAAATAACTATATCCCAATAAAACTAAAATATTAAAAATAAAGAGAAGTAACAGTAGCGATATATTATTCTGAGATCCATATACCATAGAAACAGCAAGGTACAAAGACAACAATTTACCACATCAAATGCCAACTTCACTTTGTTCAGTGTTAATTGTGCCCAGCACTGTGTTAAGTACTTGACATGAACCTCATTTAATCTCCATGACAAGCCCAGAATTATTTATATCATCCCCAACCAAAGTGCAGAAATAGGTTCAGAGAGGTTATAACAACACAACCATAGCATACATAACTATATATTTATATACAATAAACATACGATTTAAATTACTTTCCCATTTGTTTTTTCCTTTTTTTTTTTGCTTTTCAAAATGTGACTACTAGGAAAATTTTAATTACATGTGACTTGCACTGTATTTCTATTCACTGTTCCATACTACACCTGTTAGGGAGGAAGATACTTTATTTGCTTAATCATAGCAAACATTTAACTAGAAGTCTGAGGATTGTTTCTGGCACTTTTAAACTTACAAAACGAGATGAGTTATCATTTTTCACAGTCTTTGCATTTCCAAATGATTCCAGGATTGGATTTGCTTGCAAAAGTTGCCGTTCAAGTTCCCCCTAAAAGACATCACACATAAAGACACACATAAATAAAAGCAAATGTATGTTAATCTCTCTACTCCATTCTTCAAAGAAAAAACGAAGCAAACAAAACACTGCCTCTTTTCCTCAGTTTTCTCATTTGCCATCTAACAAATTTTGTTGTTGGCTTCTTATTCTCGGTCTTATGGGCTCTGCTAAAGGTGGGGAAAAAAAAAAAATCAGACTCTATCACGTGACCACAAGGAGAAGATGATGTCACATTGAACAGAGATGCTAAATATAAGGACAGGCCACACAAATTAAGTGGAGAATTTTTAAAATTAAGCAAACTACTTTAAGAACATATTAATACTTATGCTTCTGCTTATTTCTACTTTGCCTTGTTCCAAAGACTTAAGGCAGTAAATCCTAATAATTTCCACTGTACTGGTAATAAGACTTGCCATTTTCCTAAAGATTTAACATGATATCTTAATGACATAGACAGGGCAACACCCTCATCTCCAAATTCAGAGATGACAAAGATGATGATGCTACTGAATTCTTGCTCAAATTTAAAAAGCTAAGTATATCATATTTGGTGTAGTGTATGCTTTATTGAGTGTCCTTACTTACATGCAAATTAAGCTATAAAACAGTTTATAAACAAAAGATGTAAGTATATTAATATGTGCTTTAATTATGAAATACAACAGAAAGCTGCATGAGAAAGCATGAAGCCATTTCTGGTCATGAAAAGCACTACAAAATGACCCTATGCCCGGGGAATGTAATTTCAGAATTATACTCTAAGACTTAAAATCCTTTTCCAAACACAAATCTTACCTGTGTATTTTAAAATACCCACCATTATTCTAGACCTAAAGAAAGAAATAAAAAACACTAATGTGCTTCTCTAAGCAAAAAAAAAGAAAGAGTATAAGGAACCTCAGGTAAGATTTTTAAATGAATGGCCAGTTGCCACGTGACGCATGACACTATCATCAAATCTAAAGCCAGGAACAAGTATATACCATAAGGCAGTCTCAGCCAGCGTGGTTAGATGTTAGGAGGTGCCGTTCCCTTGGGGAAAGCATGGGGAATGTGCCTGAGACCCGTGACACAATGTGTACGTACTTTAGAGCATTTATCTGGACTGCCGGGTTTTCCCAGGTCTTCACCACAGTCTACAGTTGTGTTCAACAGAAACCAGTCAGGAACTAGTCCTGCCATGTGAGTGTCATGACACAGCATCAACTCACGTTCTCAACTTTAGATAATATGCTCCCTGTACAGGGAATCTTCCTGTTTATGGACTTCAAGGGACACCAGACTATTTCTGATGTAAATCTTTCTAAATGCTATATGGTGTCAAAGCTTCTCAAACATGGTATCCTGAACCAATGTTAACAAGGCTGAAGGTCATCATTAAGGACAGCAGCCACTGTGCTGTGACACAACAGAGAGCCTTTTCCCTAGAGGTCAGACAGAGGTCACAGCCATCACTGAGTCTGTGGCCAACATCTTACCAAGTCCTTGGTGCACTGTCTCTGCAATAATGCCTTGGGCTATAAGATTCCTTAACCTCACTCAGCCTATGTGATAAGGGTGTAGAAACTGTTAGAAAAAATACTGACTGACAGATAGGTGGGGCACTGCATTTATCTGACACGGCCAGTTAGCTCAAGGAATCAGGACAGAGATTCCTTAAAACTACACACTATCCTACCAAATCATAATAAAAACACTTCCAATAATAATTTATCTTTAAAATGTTCTCCTAACTTGAAGACAAAACAAGTATTGTATACCTCATTTTAATATTCCCTAGACATGGCTTCACAAGAGTTGTTTGGGTCAAGATAATTGTTGTTTTTTTTTTCTCCCTGGCGTGTATATGTTGTGTGTGTGTGTTTGTGTCTGCACACACTGTGTGCATGTGATCCACTGGTCTCGATCCCATTCTTTCATTTGGCTTAAAGGCACCAGCTACATCCTCTGCGTCAAGTCAACATCAAGCTAAAATAATGTTCTGTGAATGTCTGCTGAATGGACGGATAATGACAGGTCCAAGCACACTCTATCAGTATCTGGGGAGGGGATGGTGGTGAACCAGAGGTGGCAGGAAGATTTGGATTGAGGGGCCTCATAGTCACTGTGGTGGGTGTGGAGATGTGGGTCTCAGCTTTGGGGGCCACTCCATTAACAGGGATGTGGTAGTACTTCTCTTCCAATGGATTTCTGACATGACTGAGACCAATGATAGATCTCAAAGACTCAGGAGTGAATCATATAAAGCTTGACCAAAGCTAGTACTATACAACACACAAAAATGATCTTTAGGTAAGAAATTACCACTAAATTTGATCACTGCTGCACTGAATAATTCCACTTAGGTAGAAAGTGCTTACAGCTCCGAACCAAATTATGAAGCCATTTATAAACCTCCAGGAGCAGTGACTAAAGTGTTAACCTTTCCACTGGAACTGCATGGGCAATGTTCCCTCTATTTCTGTTCTGTGTGGTAACAAGAAATGTCACTGTGGAACATGGGGAAAAGAAATTAGTATTAACTACTGAAATTATTTTTAAAGTTCTAAGTACTTAAATCATTAATGCCAATCATGATGAAAACTACACCCCTGTGTTTATTACATAATGTATTACATATACTTGCTCTATGATAGATACAGAATGAGTTTGAAATTGGTGGAAAAAAAAAAACACACACAAAAAAACCACACACACACATCTTTCAAAATTCCAGTTCAGCCAGCAAGGGGACTCGGGCTGGCCTCCTGCTGCCCTCATAGGCCTAACAGGCAAAGCTGTGGCTTTCCCACTGACCACAGAGTAGGGCTGGAAGCTGATGAAAGTGAAAGTCACTTAGTTGTGCCTGACTCTGCGACCCAATGGACTATACAGTCCATGGAATTCTCCAGGCCAGAATACTGGAGGGGGTAGCCTTTCCCTTCTCCAGGGGATCTTCCCAACCCAGGGATCGAACTCAGGTCTCCCACATTACAAGCGGATTCTTTACCAGCTGAGCCACAACGGAAGCCCAAGAATACTGCCGTTGGTAGCCTATCCCTTTTCCAGGGGATCTTCCCAACCCAGGAATCAAACTGGGGTCTCGAGCATTACAGGCAGATTCTTTACCAACTGAGCTATCAGGGAAGCTGGTGGCAGCAACTAATCACATGTTGAGAAACAAGCTCCAGGATAGGCTATAATTTCTGTGCTTCCTACTTGCTATCTGTTACCCTTCTGTATCAGTTCAAGGCAGTTTAGACCAGTAGATACAAAGTCATCTGGAAGCTGCCATCTGATGTGGCTGACTGAGCAGTTAGCGGGCAGGTGGGCTGGCCTGAAGAGGTCATTCTCAGGGGATGGTCAAGTTTAAGAAATTAGTTGTCTTCAAACCTGCTCTGAAATTGCACTTTTTCCAGGCTTCAGAGCGGCCTTAAACACCATGCCAGATAGCAAGGGTCTGTAACAGCAACATACAATGAGGGAACCTGGACTGAAGATGGACTTGCAGTTGGCTGGGGCATTAAGACAAATGAGGACTCATTTTGTTACAACTACTAAAAGTTCACAGGTAAATGTTTTACTTCTTAAATACTGTGGCCTTAATTTTGAAAATTTATTTCTTATATTTGTTCATATTTCTATAATGAAGATGAAGTTATAAAATACATTAAAAAAAATTGAACACTTCACAGAGCTAGGAGAGCCTCAATAAAAAGACAATGACAAGTACTGACTAGGAAATGGAGAAACTGACACGCTCATACATTGCTGGGAATGTAAAGTGGTACAGCTTCTATAGAGAGGTCTGGCAGTTCCTCAAAATGTCCCCCCCCCCCCTTAAAATGTTAAACAGAAAGCTAGCACAACCCAGCAATTCCACTCCAGGTATACACCCAAGAGAAGTGAAAATGTATGTCCATGTGAAAATTGATATATTGCAGCATTATTCATAATGGTCCCAAAGCGGAAACAATCCAAACGTCTATCAACTGATGAATGGATAAACCAAACATGATGAATTTAATATAATGGGTTACTATTTGGCCATAAAAAGGGAGGGAGCACTTACACATGCTCCAACAAGGACAAACCTTTGAAAACATGCAAAGTGAAAAAACAGTCACAGAGAACCACATGTTATATGATTCCACTCACATAAAATACTCAGAATAGGTAGACTCAGAGAGACAGAAAGTGATTAGTGATTTCCAAGGGCTGGGGGAGACATGGAAGGTGATTCCTATGGGTAAAGGGTTTCTTTTGGGGGTGATGAAAATATTTCAAGATTTTAGTAGTAACTGTGTGACTAGACTGAAAAATAAACAAACCCCACTGAACTGTACGCTTTAAAAGGGTGAATTTTGTGGGACAAGAATTTAAACCTCAATAAAGTTGTTGAGGGAAAAAGAGCCAAGAGCAAATAAATTATAGATTCACAAAATCTGGAAGCTACAAATGCCTTTCCCTTTGTTTGTTTGGTTTTTTTAAAACAATTTATACTGCTGTTTAGTGATAAAATGCTATCAATTTATACAAATGATTCCTGGGAATCCAAGTAAGTTTTGCCTATAAGGTTCAACATAAATTCAGAAACCAGTTACAGGGAACCAAAAGAAACACTGACCTTACAAAGTAAAACCATTACTTTATGGCAGTCATCCTCAAAACGGGGTGAGGAAATCATGTCGAGGGGCACTTGGGAGAGGATGGGGGTGTAGGGAGAGAAGTAAGCTCTTGAATGACCCTCCCCAGGGTATGACCAGCCTCTAGGCTCAGGAGTGTCTCATATTCCTCAATGTGCTGGGGAAGAAAAATTAATGGAGAACCAGTGGTCTCCTCATGTTTCTAAAGACATGGCATAACTATTACTTGACTAGTGTTAAAATAAACTTGGGAAAGCAGCACAGAAGAATCTGCGCAGAGAACATGCAGAAAGACATGCAAGTCAGTAACAATAGCGCAGCATAGCCCAGAGAAGCTGGTTGCCTTCTGGAGGGAACCTGGCTTGATCAGACCCAAAGCAAAATCTAGGGGTAAGCATGCTACTCACAGGGACCCACTCTGTAGTTGTTTCTGACATTGAAACAAAACGTTAACGATGATGATTTATATAAGCCAGAGGATTAGGAAACCTAAATCTGTAGGTTAATTATTTAATGCTATTTTGCTAGTGATCTAGGTACATATTAAAAGGTCATTTAGCATGTACTCTAAAGCACAAAGAAAATCTGGTTGCTGGTCTAGAGATTCCTTCTTTAACTGGCCAAAGAGCCTTTCAATATCATATAGGATAGTGATGATTTCATTTATCCTCCCAATTTGCAACACTGGTGTGGTCTACAGCTAAAAGCAAAGGAACATCATGGGATTTTAGAGGTGTGGTACAAGCTTTGGTGTCTGAGAATCTCTTAAGAATTCTAAAGAAAGGTATCTGAAAATCTGTGTCTGTGACTATTCCTTTAGACGCTTCTGATTGCTTCTTCACGTTAACAGGTTGTTTTCACAACACTATCATTTACTGCTTTATGCTGCTTTGCAGCAGCATGCTTGCAGAAAGACATACAAACCAGAAGCATTCCAATGCTAGGGAAAGGGTCAAGTACAGGTGCAGATACTCCAGTCTATCTAAGGCATCTGGCTCAGCCCTACCCTCCCTCCCTCTCTATGAGGACATGCTCTGGTCCATGGTCTGCCAGATGCTATGCTCTGTGGGGCTAAAAGCGAGGCATCTGATAGTTAGGAAGAATAACACTCCTCTACAACTTGCCCAAGACAAAAAAATTCTAAATTTATATATTAAATACAATGAGACTTTCAGGTTACACATACCAGACCACACAATATTAACAGATCAGAAACTGTTACAGTTGCAACCCTAAATTCAAAATTTAATATATGGCATGAAGTTAGGGTTCCACATGCTTAAGAAGTATTAAAGTGATTCTGCCTGGCCACTGACACATGAAACCCTAAGTTTACAGGCTTCACAAACATATGATTCAAAGTCATAATGAAAGGGTAAATAAACATCAAAGTTCCTCTAGAAAACAAAGGTAAAGCAAAACGGCATGCTGCTTCTCAGAACAGTGAGCCTCAAAGCAACACATTTTCAAAAAGAAACATTTTGATCATAAGAGATTTCGTTAAGAGCTAATGGTATTTGTGCCTAGTAGCGACTCAGTCTAAAGACAGAAATTAGTGCAAACACTCATGACTAAGAAACAAAGAAAAGCACTTGCCTGGTGTTTCACTGGTTTAGGTGATTCCTGCTGCTCGTTACAAACAGACAAACGCAAACGTTAGCAAGTTTGGGTCTTTTCCTAGCGGTAAAGCCACATCCAAAGCACCAAGTCAGTGTGAGGGTTAGAACTGTGAGGCTGGCATCTCTCAGGGGATATTAACGACTACATCTGCATATCTACAAATCAAGGATAACTGACGTGTTATATTCTTATACCTTTTCTGTCATCAATACTCCCCCAAATTTCTATCCTCCCCTCAGGCTGCTGTTGGTGGTAGCTCTGTAAGTTCAGAAAGAACCACTGAAAGCATCTGAGGATATTTTTCTGGTGGTTAAAAACTGAGGTCTTCATGAGCCTTGCTTATTGACTTCTAACAATCCTTACCACAGCTCTGCAAGAGATCAGGCTTTGAGTTACAGCCACAATCTCAGTGTGCCCAGCTGGAGTTGCCAGTTGCCACCAATTTCTTGATGTCCTAGCCCCCCCTTGCTGGGGGAGGCAAGGAAGCTGTCAGTAAAGGCAGTGCGCTGAACACCCTCACTTCCTTACTCTGAAGCTACTAAAGAATAAACCTAAGGGTTTTAAAAACAAGGGCAGAACAAAAACTTACAGGAATATTATGGTCCTTTCGTCCTTTGTGTGAAGAAGCAACATGAGCAAGGTACTGAATGACTTTCTTAGTGTTTTCTGTCTTCCCGGCACCTGATTCGCCCCTGGAAGATATAGTAACACAGGCTGCTTTACAAAAAGCACAGCACACACATTCCCAACCTGTAACCAACAAAAGGAAACTGATTTGAAACTAGAATTAGTAGGAAATAAAAAGAGAGTAAGTAGGGGAAAAAAAAAAACCAAACACAACACTATCACCAGTAGCTGGAAAATGATTTTTAAATGGTATAAATTAAATATGTTGTTTTGGTAGATGCCAGTTAAGAGGACAGAGGAAAATGTTCACAACACTTCCCCACCTGTACTAGGAATCAGTGGCTCTGCCAGAAAAGTTAAGTTTATTAGAATGTTTACAAAGAAACTCCTCAGCACCAGAAACATATCCAGCACTAGGAACAAAATTCCTAGAACAATTAGACTAAGGTAACTGAATCTGCAGGAGTTGAATGAACCCCGGGATGCCCACTGATCACGGATAGCATCTTCAAGGCCTGAACACCTTTTAGGCTCATCCCTCAGAGCTAATGATGGTTCACTCCCTTGGGCCCACAGAGCATCTTGTACATATACCTCATACACAGAGCTTTTCTACACTGTTAAATCCACCTATGTTTTCCTTCGAGCATTTTGATGTCTTCACTTTTTACAACTTAATCAATCGAAAAAAATGTACGGTCTGAGGTCCATTTTTTTTTTTAACTTTATTATTTTTGGCTGTGCTGGGTCTTTGTTGCTACCCGGGCTTTTCTCCAGGTGCAGCAAGTGGGGGCTGCTCCCGCTGCAAAGCACGAGCTCTCGGCTCTGGGCCTCAGGCGCGTGGCATGTGCGCTCAGTAGTTGCAGCTCCCTGGCTCCAAGCACAAGCTCAGTAGTTCAGGTGCACGGGCTCAGGTGCTCCACGGCATAAGGGATCTTCCTTGATTAGGGATCGAACCCATGTCTCCAGTATTGGCAGGTGGGTTCTTTACCACAGAGCCATCAGGGAAACCCTGAGGTAAATATTTAATCTCATTTTCCACTCACATGATTCAGCTCACATCCCATTATCAATGGTTGACCAAGACACTGATTATCTTGGTCAAGTGACTTGAAATGTTATCTTTACCTTACACTTATGACTTTATTCCAAAGTCAAACCTTATGCAGTATTTATGAAGTATGACTAACCACATTATCCATCATTGTTTTTTAAAACCTCAGAGACAAGTAGTCTCTGAGGTTTATTTTTTCAGATAAATTTCAAGTAATTTTGTTCTGCTATATCCCTCCCCTGTCTCCTCCCACCTGCCACCTCTATAAAAACAGGCAGACAGAATTTTGAGCTAAATAATATACATGCTATTTTTAGGAGAAATGATGGCTTCATCTCTCAGTTAAATTCTGTATTTTTCTAAGTTCAAAACAAGCAAGGACCCATGTTTATCTTATTCACTTATTAAGTCATAGTGCCTAGCATAGCAAGTACTCAATAAATTCTGCTGAATAAAAGAATGTAAGTCTTATATAAGTTTATTTCTAGGCTCTATTTGATATTTTTGGTCCTGTCATTAATGTCCTTTTATCACCATTATACTTTCTACTTGGTCATCATTAGTACCTGCTAATGAATTTTGTTCATTCCTTTATTCAACACATTTCCAAATCAACTCAGGCATCCCTTAAGTGCTAGAGATTGAGCTGTGGATACAGTCTTCCTGGAGCTCAAGATTAGAAGAGGTTTAAAACAAACAAGAAAAACAAACTGGGTCTCTGTAGGATGTGAGGAGGGTGATGAAGGAAACAAGGTGACTGAGGGGGAAAAGGCAGAAGAGCAAAGGACAACTCCCCGGAGATTTAATAGTGGCGGGGGGGGGGGGGGGGGGGGGGGGGCGGGCACTCAACTCCTGAAAGCTGAGCAGGACCAGGCACGAGAGGGTCTGAGACATAGCATGGAGGCAGATGGAAAGACAGATGCTAAGGCCTCAAAGCAGAAAAACAGTTCGGTATATTCCAGCAACCGGCAGCCAAAGTGCAGGATTTGATATAAATAACCAGCCAGGCAGACACAGCAGGAGGGACTGCCGCCCGAGGTGGAAAGGCGTGGATGGGATGTACCCTGGAGCCATGGGAATGAATCTGGATTTTATTCAAGTGCAATTTCATAAGAGCTATGCCAGTGGTTTTCTTTGTTGTGTTCTTAACTTTATTTAAAATACCTAGTGTTTCAAGCTAATCATGATGTTGGCTGTTGGTTTCAAACAGATAATTTTTCAAGATGCTAAGAAATGTGCCTCATGTAGACTGACGATGACTTGTCTTGAAGCAGTCATGATTGGTACTCATCAGCTTGGTTTGCCTCTGCGGTTTCTTGGCTAACCCCTCTCAACTGGACATACTTCAGTGTATCCTGAAAGCATTTTTTTTCCCGACTGTCACGCTTACTTAGCTATACTGAGCTGTCTGTCAACAACTGCCTATGAACTCTGCTAAATTTTCTGTATTTCAGGTCTAGGATACCTCTGCTATTATTACACATAAGGCTGTGTTGTAAAGGAAAAGAAATACAGTCCATCTAAAGCACATAATTGGGCTTTCCCAGTGGCTCAGTGGTAAAGAATCCACTTGTAACGCAGGAGCCGCAGGTTGGACTCCTGGGTTGGGAAGATGCCCTGCAGGAGGGCATGGCAACCCACTCCAGGATTCTTGCCTGGAGAATCCCATGGACAGAGGAGGCTGGTGGGCTACAGTCCTTGAGGCTGCAGAGAGTCAGACATGACTGAAGCGACTTAGTACACACAAAGCATACAATTAGTATTCAGTAAACATTACCCATTATTGTCCACTCAGCTGTTCATCTACCATATAAAAGGGAATCTGAATTACCAAACTCTAAACTACTTCATGAATCTATCAAGCTGGTAAAGTGGTTAAGAAGTGGGCCATGGTATCTTGATGACCTACTTAGACTCAAATCCAGCCTACCACTTGTTAGTTATGGGGCTTTGGGCAAAGTGATTGGCCTCTGAACCTCGGTTTAGACTTCTTTAAAATGAGACCTGGTTACTCTGCAAGATTGAGATCACACCTGTAAGGAGCCTAGCATGGGACCTAACCAGAAGTTGCTCAACAAATGGCAGCAGTGTTAACAACTATGATGGTCAACAGTGATGATGAATAAATTGACAGAAGTAGAAAGATGATAACCTCTGATTTGAATATGAAAGACACAGCAGAATCAAAGAAATATTCTTAGAAAAAGGTTGTTTTTTTTTTTTTTAAGGTGAAATGGTACATCTGTCCCAGATGAGTCTTCTAAGAGTTCTTTTACATTTTGGATAACAGTCCTTTAGCAGTTCTGTCTTCCACAAATATTTCTTCTCAGTCTGTGGTTTATCTCCTCAATCTTTTAACACTGTCTATTGCAGAGTGGAATTTTTAATGAAGTCTAGTTTATCAGTTATTTCTTTGATGGATGTCTCTGGTTTTGTACCTAAAAAGGTATTGCCACTCCCAAGGTCATGTAAGTTTTCTCTTATGCTACCTTCTAGGAGTTTTATAGTTTTGTATTTATATTTAGGCAGAGTTGCACATGACTGAGCACACACGCACACAATCAAATGAAGTGAGGGTAGGAATTTGCTGGGTACAGGAGGGAACTTTACAGGATGATCATAATGATAATGTTCTCTATCTTAACAGAGGTTTACATTATACAAATAACTCAGCCCATATATACTTAAAGCACATAAAAAGTTTTGCATTCTGTTATAAGTCCCCTACACATGAAGGAGTTCTGTTTCGAGTGCACATTCAGAAGTCCAACTTTTCCCTAAGTCCAACAAAATTAGCCTAAGTACCTAACACAATCTGCTATATAGTACTGTACTGTAATAGGTTCATAAGATTTTCCACACAAATACATAAAAACAAATAAAAAAAAAAAACACTTTTACTCTTAGAGTATAGTACCTTGAAAATACAGTGGTACCATACAACAGCTGGCACAGAGTTGTCATTGAGTGAAGAAGTGTTACCAACTGGAGGAGGACAAGGACGTGGGAGATGGCAGAGCTGAAGGATCGTCAGCAACAGGAGACGGAGGGCAAGCTGCCATGTCACCCTCGTCTGATGTTGGTGGAACACAGGTTCATATCTTTGAAAGTTCACAACTTGAAGGTTTGTATGTAGGGGACGTAAGTGTTTGTGAATTTTGTCTCAAAAAGATAAAGATGTAAGTCTTGAACTTTACTTAATGTTATGTATGCTGAAGTATTTAGGGGGAAGCACACTGATCTACAAATGCATCAGATGAAGGGATTAATAGCCCTAAGAGTGGTTTTTCAGTTTAAAATGAAAACATCTTAACAATCAGCAGTCACCAAAAGAAATACCATCCAACCGTAAGCAGTGAAAAGTGTTAGTAGCTTAGTCATGTCAGATTCTTTGCGACCCCATGGAATGTAGACCATCAGGCTCCTTTATTCATGAAACTCTCCAGGCAAGAATACTGGAGTAGGTAGCCATTCCCTTTTCCAGGAGATCTAACCAACTCAGGGATGGAACCCAGGTCTCCTGCATTGCAGGCAGATTCTCTACCATCTGAGCCATCAGGAAGTCCAACCTTAAGCGAAGCCTCCTGAAAATGCAGCTCCCATGGAACCCCACCCCAAGGAGTTTCTGGACTAGGGAAAGTCTGACCCTGAGCACCAGCAAGTACAAATTCAGCTGTCCACTGGCATCACAAAGCCCCAAAGAACCCTCCATACTTTCCCCTAGAAGCCTCAATCCACCTACACCACCCTCCGTTTCTTAAATTTAGTATAGAAGCCTTTTATTTCTGGTTTTCAGCAAGTTACTCATTACTGAATACTCCCACACATGTGCATACATAAACCCTGTCTTTTCTCCTGCTAGTCTACTGTCAATTTGTAGATCCCCAACCTCAGGATCCCAGTTGGCAAAGTTTCCCTCCCAACACAAACAATAAAATGGATTGATAGGGGGATGAACAGATCAATATATAATAAGCAAATATAGTAAAATATTAATGGCAGAATCTAGAT